ATGCCTGCTGTACTACCCTATGTCAAGCCCACCAATGAAGATTAGTCAATTTTTACCATCCGTCAAGTGTCATATCCCTCCACATGATGCAGAAATGTACAAGCTGGATTGTGAATGTGGTCTCTCTTACACCGGACAAAATAAAGCTCTATTAAAACCCGCGTGAAAGAACATATAGCTGACTTGAAGCACCGACGTTCCGGGAAGTTTGCAGTATGCGAACATGTTCTAGATCGTCCCCGCCATTACATTAGATTTGATAAACTACAAATCCTCGCAAAAGAACACCGATTCCTACCTAGGATGATTTGCGAGGCTATTCAAATTAAAAAACATCCTAACTTCAATAGAGAAGATGGATGGGTGCTGCCATCTGCTTGGCATACTCACTCAATTAAATCAAAACCCAAGCATACCACTGTAAGAATTCAAGATAATGTAAGGTCATTCCGCGTAGGTCGGACAACAAATTCTCGGTTGAAATTGGACTTACCTAGTCGGACTATTTGTCCCAGGTAAACATACTCGTCAACAACTTCAAGCTTAGTGCTCCCAACAACTACTGGAATAGGTGTTACATGGACATTAAACATGATTTTTGTTTTGTCCATGTTCATCCTAAGACCAAATTCGTTAGGAGACACTATTGAGGTCAATGAGCATGGTGCTTAGGTCCTCCAGCAATTCTGCCGTAAGGAATATATCGTCGGCAAGTCGAAGGTGAGTGATGTACTCGCCATTGATGTTAATACCTTATGCTTTCCAATGCAGAAGCTTGAAAACGTTTTCCAATGCAGCGGTGAAGAGTTTCATGGATATAACATCACCCTGTCTTACAACTCTCTGCAATTGGATAGGTTTCATACTCTGGTTATGTACTCGGATAGCCATCGTAGCTCTACTGTACAAACACTTCAGCACTTTGATATACCGACATTCCACTTGGCACCGCTGAAGGGACTGCAGCACCGCCCAAATTTCAACCGAATATCTTTAGCTTTCTTATAGTCCACATACGCCAGACATTGTGGCAAATTGTACTCTTCGGACTTCTGTACAATTTGCCGAAGGGTATGTATGTGGTCTATGGTGCTAAAGCCTTTTCGGACACCGGCTTGTTCGGGAGGCTGGAGGTCGTCAAGTCTGCGCGCGAGACGATTCGTAATGACTCTCGAAAACAGCACGTAGACGCGGCTCAAAAGGGAAATCGATCTGTCGTTCTTCAAGAGAGCGTTGTCGCCTTTCTTGAAGAACAAGACCACCGCACTTCTGCTCTACGCCTCCGGTGTAACGCTACCATGGAGGACGGAATTAAAGAGCTTCTGAAGGACTTCAAGTACTGGTCTTCCACCCGCTTTCAGAAGTTTCGATGTAATTCCATCCTCGCCTGGGGCCTTGCCGTTTTTAAGGTGCTGGAGAGCCATTCTAATCTCGCTCAGACTGACATCCGGGATATCTTCGGAAAAGTGTCGGATAAGACTCACACTTGGATCGTTACTCAAACTTGTGTGTGGCTCCAACGATGACGTGTACAACTGCCCATAGAACCTCTCAATCTCACTCAAAATCTCTGGTGCCCCGGAAACGATGCTGTCACACTCGGTCTTCAGCTTTGACAGTTGGTTCTTTCTGGCAGACCAATCTCTGGCAAAGACTTTGGAGCCTTGGTTCCGCTCGATCGCTTCATCAATACAAGCTGTATTGAAGTTGCGTAAGTCCCGCCGCATGCATTTGGAGATCTGTCTGTTCTGTTGTCTGTATGCTGTCAAATCTGTTGAAGAATGTAGCTTCATCTCCCGTCTAACAGCCTTGAGATTGTGAGTGTGATCGAAGAGTTTTTGTGTTCTTCTGCGGCGGGTCTTGCAGAACTTAGCTCCGATCGCATGGACAGTTTTCACGAGCTTGTCATTCATACCGTCCACTTCATTGTAGTCTTATAGGTACTGAAAACGGTTTTGTAATTTTAGCTGAATGGTTTCTGGACTTTGGAACAGAGCACAAGGGAACGGAGCGTTGACTTCATTAGACGAGACCTCTCTAACTTAACGTTTAGGTTCAGTGTGCCTCTAACCATTCGGTGATCGCTGCCGGTTTTCACCCTCGCGATCACGGAGACATCACTGAACAGTTGTCGTCTAATCGTCATAATCAAGTCAATCTTAGTTTTTGTGAAACAGTCGAGGCTCGACCAGGTCCACTTCCTGTGGGGCCGCTTCTGGAAGAAAGAGTTCATCATAAAGAGTCCCCTTTCTTCATGACATCGGCCAGCTGCTGGCCCCTTGGGTTCCGTTGCTCTATTTCAAATTTCCCTACTTTCAGCTCACCGTTCTCTCTTGTGCCTAGTTTTGCATTGAAGTCTCCCATTAACACCGTATATTGGGTTTTGGTGGAATGCATGGCTCTATAGATATCCTCATACATTTCCTCCACCTTCTTATCGGGGTGTGCCGAGGTTGGTGCGTAAACCTGTATGACCTTCAGCGAATACCGTTTGGTGATTCTGAATATAAGGTACGCAACCCTCGTCGACACACTCTTAATCTTTATAACGTTGTTAACGAGAGACTTGTGGAAGATAAATCCGTCACCTCCTTGGAACAGATGGTCGCCCTCCCGGTGATAGAGCAAGTTGCCGGATTCGAGAATTACCGTGTCCTCCCCCTCTCTTGGACTTCGGATAATCCTATATTATGCCAGCGTAACTTGTCTATCTCTTCTTCCAGCTCCACGATCTTCTCGTCAGTCCTCAGGGTGCGTGCGTTGTATGTTGCCAGGTCGAGTCGTCTTAGGTGGCAACCGAACCTCCATGGGAGATTCTTAGCACCCCCTGCACCGCCAGTACCATAGTCACCACCGTAGCCAGGAATAGCGGGGCCGCCGGGGACTGGGGTCCGTTTCTTTGTTACTTTCGCCATAGCCATAGTAGTTGTTATTTGCCATAGTTGCCACGCTTGGCGAGCGGGTTGGCAACCGCAGTTTTTTTTATTGTAAGTTTGTTGTTGTCAGGAAGATGCTGCTGCCCATCTTCTGCCTGTTTCCCTTTGTCCCCTTTTACGACACCCACGGGAAGATATGGGGTAGTGGATATTCTTAACCGCCACTACACAGCATATTCTTAACCGCCACTACACGGTATAGAACACTTTATTATATTGCAAGTTTTATTATTTTTTGACTTAATTTTGTAAATTTGAAATTGCTTACTTTTCTGTTTCTACTACAATTAAAACATGCATAGTTCTCTTAGTATTAACTCTGTTACAACTCTAGGAGAGGCCGCTGATTCCTAAGATACAGACTCGTCTACTTTAGGAGTCAGAGACTTCATAAAATTTTTGTGATATATTTTTCATAATAAAGAATTATTATTATTATTATCGGGGTTATCTATGAAGTTTTCTCATCTGGTTAGGCCATTTAAATATATAATTGTAAGCGAAATATATAAACATACATAAATATCAATAAAATAGAATAAATACATAAAAAATACATAAATATATAACAACCTAAAAGATGGAAGCCCTCGGCAGGGGAGAACAAACAACCGATGGTTAGGGGAAAGGGAAAGAAACCAGCGGACGATGCGGGCGGTATCGAGGAGCACCGCCTTCTGCATTTGAGCTTGGAGCGGTCCGTCCCGGAGTCCCAGTCGCCTCAGATGACTCGAGAGGCTGACTGGGATTAACCCGTTCGCAGAAACGACCACAGGAATAATTTCGGCTGGCAGACCAACCCACATGTCGGTCACCTCGTGAGCCAGGTCCAGAAATTTTGTCACCTTATCTGCTTCGGCTCTCACGAGGTTCTCGTCATAAGGAATGGTAATGTCGACCAAAAATATCCTTGACTGTGCCCGGTCCATCAGTACAATATCAGGTTTATTCGCAAGAATAGTCCTATCTGTGATGATGGCCCGGTCTCAGTAGAGCCTGGTGCGGTCATTTTCGAGCACGGCTGGCAAGTACTTATAATATGGCAGTTTCCGATCCACGAGACCGTATTTCAGAGCGAGCTCCTGGTGTAGAATCCTGGCTTCGAGGTTTTGTCTGTGCCTAAGTGACTCACCGGGATGGCTACAAGCTCGACAGATGTCGACGGCGCCATCCTTTAGGATGTATTTCCGATAATTGTTGGTCTTAATATCCTGATCATGTATTGCACAGACAAAACCCTCGGTTTCTCCAAAGAGGTCACCGAAACGTAGCCAGTGGAGGGAGGCGACTGTGTCTACGAAAGGCTCATGAATGACCTTGTACAACCTCCCGTGGAGCTCATTCTCCTTCCATACGTTCTCCCGGTAGGAAATGCTCTGTACTCCTGGATTTTACCATTGTTCGTTGGCTAAGGAGTTAGCCCTTTATCACAAGAAATAACGTCCCTATAGTATGGATCATCCGCTCTCGTCAGAAAGTAATTACAGAGGCTGCACACTTCGCGATTATGCATGGTAAGCGCGCTTAAAAAGCCGCGTCCACTATGCTTCCGCGGAAAGTACAGCCTCTTTACTGACGATCTCGGATGATGCATCCTGTGGGACCTCATTATAGTTGGAACTTTTCTGTCCAGAATGTTCAGTTCGGTCTGAGTCCACCTGAGTATGCCAAAGATATACATGAGGACAGACATGATCCAACCGTTATATGCGTGCGTCTTATTCACACCGGATAAAAGGCTATTAAGTACTTTGGTCAAGCGTGCATATAACACATTGCAAACTGACCGTTTCATACCCGCCTCATCTACACCGATGTTCTGTGACATACCCAGGTATCGGTATGTTTCAGCCTCAGAAAGGGTCCTTATGCTGATGGGCATAGATAAATCTATGCCCTCAGAGTTAGCAACCCTTCCCCTTTCGACATGGAGGATCGCACACTTATCCGTCCCCAGCTCCATTCTAATAGAATTGCTAAAATCATAAGTGATGTTTAGCAATTCCATAAGATGGGAGCGACTGGAGACCAATAACTTGAGATCATCCATATAGAAAAGATGGATCACTTTTGTACCTCCTTTCCGAAGCTGAAATTCCCTCCCGGAACCCTCCAGTAAGGTACTGAGAGGCAGAACCAGATTGGATTCAAACAATCGCCCTGGAAGATACCCCTTCTTATCCTTATGTGATTCTCCGCAGCCGTCATCCGCTTGCCTAGATGACAAAGGATCGTACTCCACTGCCCCATACACTGGCCGAGGAAGTCTCGAACTTTACAGTTAACCTTGTACAGCTCAAGGAACCTCTTAAGCCATGTATGAGGCACCGAGTCGAATGCATTTTTGTAGTCTATCCAGACGGCGGAGAGGTTCCAACGGTTGCATTTAACCACCTTGCCAATGACCGCGTCAATGAGGAGTGGTTCCTTGATTCCACGACCACCGCATCTACATCCATTTTGAGCGCGCGACATCACCTGATTTGAGTTCAGGTGACGAGTGATTCTCGCGCTCAAAATGAATGTTAGTATCTTGTATATGGTAGGTAGACACTTAATGGGGCCAGGAACCAATTGAGTGATCCCAGTAGTGAAGAGGCTCGGGAGCGACTTTTGGTCGAGAGCATCTTGAAAGTGTCGGGCGAGCACAGCGTGACACACCACGAATCCCGTTAGCCAGTAGTGATGCAGTCCATTGAGTCCCGGACTTTTCCAGTTCGGGGCCCTACGGACCGCCTCAGCTACGTTATCCGGCATTATGATGACGGGGTCCATGGGCGCAACATTCGCACACTAATTCGCCACAAATTCGGTCCAAGGGCCCTCGCTGTGGTTTACGAGCTCTGACCACAGGCCGCGCCAGAATACGATTGATTTATTTATTTTAAAACAGTGTACATGCTGGCTTACAGTATGCCTAAAACTCAGAATGCTAATTTACAAATTACACTTTTAAATAATAAGTAATTTATTAAGATACATGTCCAAATAAAATAAAAAATAAATGCCAAATAGAAGATTATATTATGTCAAATGGAGTAAACAAAATATCATTGTCAAATTAACTAACCTAAGATTAAATTAATATATTATAATATGTCAAAAATAGAAGGGCTTTATTACATAGTTGCCTAAAGTTATCAGCAAATAAGTCAGTCTCGTAATCATGTGCGAGCATATGTCCAATAAGCCGTATAGCGTAGCGGTATATCTTTTTCAAAAGTTGAAATTGGCCCGAGACCAAAATAAATATAATACAAGAGCTTCCGTTCACTCGCTTGTAACAACTCGACACCGTACTGCTGCATTTCGAGGCAGCTTCAAATTTGCAGCAACACACTGTTGGAATAATTTACCACCACATATTTGTTCCCTAAAAACATTAAGTAGTTTTAAAAACAAATTAAAGTTGCATTATTTGGTACAACAAGTACAAAATACGTAGTTATTACGTATTTTGTACTTTGTCTCGAAAGTAGGAACCTACGATGATAGCAATATTTATATTTGTTCTACACTTTTCATGTTCGAATATTATTAATTATTAATGTGTTTCTGTTATTTGATGAATGATTATTTATTGGTTTCAATTTTATTTACTTTTTTCATTTTTTTTTCTCTAAAATCCAGCAGATCCCGTAACATGGCGTGTCTCTTTGACTCAGAATATTAAATTATCTACTTTCATGAAAAATAAAAAAGTTGTCTTCCCCATGGAATAGTCAGAATAGTCAATTATCATGTTAATATTGTATGTATAAGTATATAAGTAGGTATTGTTTAAATATATATTGTATTGAGGCGGGAGGACAGTCCGGACGGCGAGTAATAATAGACGGAGATACGAAAACTCGATTTTATTGTACGACACAATATAACAATAATATTGAATAATATTGAGTTATGCAATCGGTGCAGTATTGAATAACACTAATACTGCACCGATAGCATAACTGCCAGCATCAGTTTGGAGGATGTACGGTTTTGTTTCATCTGCTTGTACAAGTACAAGTGAAGTTATCAATAGCTTACACAATTCTTTAAAAGCCCTTCTTTGTTCGTCTTCCCATTTCCACTCAACATTCTTTTTCGTTAAACGTGTTAGTGGCTCAGCAATCTTAGCAATATTGGGTATGAAGCGCCTGTACCAGGAGCACATTTGGATAAAAGATAACAAATGCTTGAGATTTCGCGAAGGTGTCATCTTCAATATAGAATTAATCTTATAAGGATTTACTTCTTATCCATTAGGGGTAATATAGTGACCCAAGTATTTGACATTGGAACAACAAAAATTGCACTTTTCTCTATTAGCGATTAAGTTAAATTCTTTGAGTCTGTTAAAGACACTTTGGAGGTCTTTTAGGTGCTCTTCGAATGTTGCAGACATCACGATCAAATCATCTAAGTAGATCAAAATTTTAATGTGGCTCAGGGTTATCCGAAACCTGTCCATCATTCTTTGAAAGGTTGCTGGAGCGTTACGCAATCCAAAGGGCATTATTTTGAATTTATATATCCCAAACGGTATAACAAATGCTGTTTTATTCTGATCAGCTTCCTTGACCCTGATTTGCCAGTATCCAGCTCGAAGGTCTATGGTACTCATGTAAGGTGTAGGCTTAGCATCGTGTAACAAATCATCAATCCTGGATAGCGGATAAGTTGGAACTGTTATGGCATTAAGTTACCGATAATCTATGCATACTCTTATGCCTCCTTCCTTTTTGGGTACAATAACAACGGGTGCTGCCCAAAGTGAAGTACAAGGTTCGATAATACCTTCATCAAGCATTTTGGCAATCTCTTTTTGCAAAATATCCTTTTTTAGAGGTGAGAGCCGATATGGGGAGACAGAAATTGGTTTATGGTTACCAGTGTCAATTGAGTGCTCAAAACCATTTACGGGCTGCCCGTTTGTTGTGAACACTGATGCATTGTGAATGAGTAGGTAATCTAGCATGGATGCATCCACTAATGAGATTCCTGTATCTGAAAAAAAATCTGATTTAAAACCATTTTGATCGTACTCCATCAGACTAATTTGGGCATCTGCGTACAGTGAATCCATTACAGACGAGTAACCATCAAACAGTTGAGTGCACTGTTTCTTTGGAGGCGGAGAAGAGATGTCAATAGGCCTCAGTTTATAAGGTCTCATAAATCCTACCTCAGTTGCACAACTCTCTGGCAAATTAGGCAATGAATCTATGTCCACTCAGACTGGTGAAAGCTTAACGTCCTTCTCGAAACTGACGAAACTCTCTCCATAAAGTTTATATTCTTGGTGAGGGTCGTCCACGAAAGAGTAAGTAGCTTGAGGCAAATTTAAAACCAACAGGGAGTCTTGTATGAATCCAACACCAAGAAGAGTTCGGACATTGCGTGATTACATTGCGTACGGTACACAGTTGCTACCAGTACCGCTTGGTTCCTTTTTATTCCATCTGCTAAAGTTATGTTGACAAAACCCTCTATAAATTGATACCCATCCTTTTTGAGCTTACAGTATAGGTCGTATGAAGCCACGCTGGATTTCGCACAAGAATCTATGTAGGCCGCGGTTGATATACCTTCCACCTCAATAAAAACCACAGGCCGGTCTCTGGCATCGATTGAAGCATCAACGGCACTAACAGCGGTATGCTCTTTAGGTGGTGACTGGTTCTTTTTCTTGTGGCACGTTGGGCAATTAGTGCGAACAACACCAGGAGCTCCACATCCATAACAACTGAAGTTTGGTGAACTTGGTGACGGAGCTTGTGTATTTGCCTCCTTGGAAAAACCCATCTTTGAAAGATCAGCTGTGGGAGCAGTGACCTTTGAGGAGTGCAATATCCTTTTCCTGCAGTTTTCGACTACGTGCCCCTTATTTTTGCAGTACTTGCATTTCTTTTTTTTGTGCGTGTTATATGGCTTCTTGGTTATTTGTTATTCCAGATACTTCTTTTTCATTCAGTAGATGTTCGACAGTAAGAGAATTTTAAGTCATCAAAATTCTTAATATTCGAACGTGGTATCTTATCTCTGATGTCTATCCTAAGCAAACCATAGTTAATATCTAGTTGTTGCTGTTCCGGGTGTGCGGGATCTGGAAGTTGTGAGAAAAAAAGGCGCTTAATATGCACAAATTCTTCAGTGGTAACACCAAAATTCTGTTTTTCTTGACTAATTTCTAAATAGATTAGGTAAGATTCTTTAACAGGTGCGAAATTTTCGCGCAGACGTGCTTCGAAACTTAATCAGGTAGTAATTTGCTTGCTTACACCCTGCCACCATATCCCTGCTTACTCCTTGAGCAATAAAGGGAGTTATTCTAAGGCTGTTATGTCATCAATACCTTCCTTCCACCTCAAAATATTCACCAAGGTCAAGAAGGCCTCTACAACCTCTTTAGACTAGTGACCATTGTAGGTATGACTGCATGTGACGAACGAGCTGCGCGACGTTGAAGGCGGTGACAGACGGGAAAGCAGTCATTCAAATTGCTCATCCGTTAGTGTTATCGCTTTCTTATCCGTCATCCTGGTGATATAGGTCTTCCTTCCAAATTTTGTCGTGTAGCTGTGTCGCTCTAGATGATAATCGTCCACAAGATCGTAATCGCTCTTCTCACTCATCAAACGACGTGCCGGGGAGTTCTCTGCAGAGCTGTCGTTGTTTGTCTTACCTTCCAGTTGGGCGTCAATTGTAATGGGGCGGGAGGACAGTCCGGACGGCGAGTAATAATAGACGGAGATACGAAAACTCGATTTTATTGTACGACACAATATTACAATAATATTAACTGTACTTCGCTCCTACAGATAGTTTTCAACTTTAACTTCCACGAGGGAAGCAAAAGGTTTACCACCTCTGTAGGCGCGTTGTTCCTTAACGTTCAAATATACTGTCCCACCAGGTGGAAGCAGCTATTTTGCAGTCTAGGAATTCCTAGTGAAAAACTATATAAACTAAAGCAGGCTTCGGACCCTATATAGCAAATCGGAGTATATCTTGTTGGCGCGATTTACCTACGTACAGCGCCATCTAGTTGGGTTTGTGGGAGTTAATAATGTAATGTTACAATTGTAATATAACACACCTGTTAGCTAGGTTTAGTCTCAGTGTAAGTGTGTATACGTTATATAATATGTTAGCTCTACTTTTTAACTCGGAATTGTTAATAGATAACTATTAACTCGTATATAACTCGTAGTTGGAAGATCACACGCCGACTTGTCTGTGAAGTCATAAGGCTCCAACTGAAAACCAGCGCTGTATTTGCAGCTTTATGCTGAGTTGGAGACCTGTTTGATGTCACATTTTTATATTGATTTTTTTTCTTTTTACTTTTTTGTTTGTTTGTTTGTTTCATTATTGTGTATGTACTGCTTCTCGATTGTAAATGCGTAAGCAGAGTTAGACTGGTACATGCATTCTTTTCCCCCTTGCTTTTGTATATAATATTTTTTAATGTGTGTAAAATGTGTATATGAAATAAATAGTTCTTTATTTCTCTCTTTCTTTCTTTCTTTCATTATGTTTGCACAACCTATCAACTATAGAATAATAGAAAAAAAACTAAAGGTCCATGTTAGAGCGTGACAAATTGTAACTACACTGATTTTGTGTGGCGTGTGACCCTGACCTCTATTTATTACCAAACACATTTAAATGCCTGCAAAAAGTAATATTGTGCTTTCTTTTTAAAAATAGGCGAGAATTTGGCAGAACAAAACGTCGAGTATAACATAGGAGATTATTTGTTTTTGAAAAAATACTGTTATTAAAACCTCCTATGTGTGCATCAAGCACATAGGGGATTTTGATGAACTAAATAGAATTTAATTTAACTAATTATTAAAAAGAAAGCTGACACTTGAGATATTTTGTAAATGAGACGTATGCAATAAGATATTCACATAAGAGTTTGAGGGGTTATTCAAAATCGCTTTTCAAATATCACCAAATCTCATTTTCAGTAAAATATGACACGTAAGAAATTTGAAATTTGCAACGTTCATAATTATTTTTTACCTATTTTCAGTGATTTCTTTTATAAAATAGGTGACAATCGAGCATGCGGCCCACTTGATGGTAAGTGTCGACTGCCGCACATGTACAACTGCAACTCCATGGGAATTGCATGTGCCTTGCCGGCTATTAAAAAAGGCTTGTAATATTTTTAGTGCTGCATTGAAAAGAAATTTCTAGGAAATATAATATAAGTCGATAGCGAAACAACCATTATTACCATTCTAACCACACTTTGGCTAGATAAAGCAACGTTAAGACTACAAAAAATAGATTTTCACAATTTTTTATTACTAGAATTTTGAGTAATTTTGCGCAGAAACACACACGAAATAATAAAATCGGAGCATAAATATTAATTTTAGTGGTTTGTTTAATGGCAACAGTTAGCTGCAGTTTCTGTAGAAATAAACGAACAGAAAGAAAATACAAAAAAAATTTACAAATTAAACAATGGCAAGATTGATTCACAGCGATCCCCTAAAGCTTTCATTGAATGAAGGAATAAAGAAAATGAGTCAAAATCAAACATCATTCTTAGGCTAACATATTTTAATTACGTAAAAAAATATACAAATGTATATAAATATACATATGTATATAATACATACGTGGTACGCTTAAACTATCAACACCAATTTACAAATTTAATGCAAATAGTAAATTTATACTAACTTAACTTGTTTAGAACCACTAATCTACATTTAATGTTTTAAATGTGCCTGCTATTCCCATATACTCTTCGTTAAATTTATCAATCTGTCTGTACTTTTCATTTGTAGAAGCTGCTTTCATTTCGTTGAAATATTCTTGAAACTCCTTTGAACTATAAACATCTACCCATTCTCCTGTAAGAAAGAATTTGTTTATTATTGTACAAACAAAACACACAAATAACCAATTCTCAGTATTTATTCTCAAATCCATTATATTAGAAATAAGAGTAGAAAGTAAAAATAAAACCGAAGAAGTGCGGTTAGGACTCCATACTGCCACTCATTCAAGCTAATATTTATTCGATGATTGATTGTTGAGCTGATAAGCTGTTCGGTACTGATAACTTGATCAGTCATTCTACGAATCACATTCGGTTGCTGAAACGGTCTTGAAACTTTAAATACCGACATTGGAGACTAATCCGTCATTAAACTGTTGCACACATTTTTTGGCACTATCTTTGCACTATTATGTAGGTAAGTGACAATTTGTGGGGCTAGATTGTAAATGCAATTTTTCTAAATACCACAAAACTCTATTTGATGTTTTTTTAGATCCTACAATTAGTAAATTGTTTTGTCGTTTAGGAAAAATACTTATTATTTTGTTTAATGTAATTTGTCTTTCTAAATATGCTGGCATGAGATATTACACGAGAGAGATTTTTACACGTGATAGAGCCATGTTGCAGCTATATTAGTAGTATAGTTGTAGCACGAATGGGTCGGCTCGACCGGGGAAGGACCACGCTCTCAAGTATACCACCACAAAATAGCAGCTTAATGCTCCTGTGTTTCGTATGGTGAGTGTAGAGAACTGGAGACCCTTTTTTACTGGAAAAAAGACGTTTCATCTTAGTCCTCACGGGTGACAGCGCATCTGCATTTTGATTCGCAAGCGAGGATAGATGTATATGGGCTACAGCAACCACTTACCATCAGGTGAACTGTGTGCTCGTTTGTCACCCTATCCTATAAAAAAATTATGAACGTTATAAATTGTTAAAAACTTGTTACATTAAATACATAGAATAACCTAGACTTGATACATAATAATAAAACCCAGAGTAATTGGGACATATTTACATCCAAACTCCTAAGAGTGAGTGAGCCAGAATTAATATCTGTCGCACTTTTTATATATCGCCAATAGTTTGTTAGGCATTGTTTTGTGCCCAAGTCTTGACGTTTCTCGTTTTTGAAAAAAAATGTCATTAGGTCATTAAAACTGTTATAAAACTCTTGTATAGTAAGTATTTACATGTGATAAACATGGTTAATTGAAATATTAATGGCTGTATTTGCGTCATTATTTATCTTTATTCTAAGAAAAATATCAATAAATATTATTAAGTAAATTCTAATATTGTATGTTTAAATCAAATTGCAAAATTAGAATTATTTTTTTTATAGGTGAGAGGGCAAACGAGCATGCGGCTTACCTGATGGTAAGTGACTACCGCCGCCCATAAACAACTGCAACACCAGGGGAATTGCAGATGCGTTGCCGGCCTTTTAGGAAGATGTGAGCTCTTTTTTTGAAGGTCCCTAAGTCGTATCGGTCCGAAAAAATCGCCGGTGGCAACAGAGAAATTGTACGGGGAAGAAAACTCCTAGTAGAACGTATAGTCGTGGACCACCAAGCATCCAGATTGTAGGGATCGTATCGTGAATTGTGACGCGATGTGCGTTCGTGAAATTTGGTGACTGGAATTAATCCGAACAATTCCTCAGAGCTTTCCCCGTAGTAAATTCGATAGAAAATGCAAAGGGATGCAACATCCCTACGCAGTGCCAGTGTATCGAGCTGATCAGAAAGAAATCGGTCGTCTAAGATTCGAACCGCTCTGCGCTGGATGCGGTCAAGTGAAAGGAGCTGGCACTGGGGTGTCCCGGCCCAGAGATGAGAACAGTATCCCATGTGAGTAACTTGCGCTTTGTAAAGTTGCAAGCGATGTGCCAGCATGAAATACTGTCTCGCTCTGCTAAGCAAGCCATGCAATTTAAAAAAAAAAATTGTATTGGACTAGATTTAGTCGCCCCCAAAGAGATTTTGTTCAACAAAGTCTCAACTTCAGACACAAGTTTGTTCCGGTACTCGGCGACGTTTTCCCGAGAAATACTGGCACGGTCGGGATATAAAGCATCACCAGTACTGTCATCTGCATAGCAATGTATGTTACCGGTTTTCAACATGTCATTGATGTGTAGAAGAAACAGCGTTGCTGATAACACGCAGCCTTGTGGAACAACAGTGGTAATGGGCTTGTAATCGGGGTATGCACCGTCTACTATGACCTTGATGCTTCGATCAGCAAAAAAACTAGTGATCCAATTGCAAAATTTCTCGGGAAGCCCATAGGAAGGCAGCTTCGAAAGAAGCGTGTTGTGCCAGACCCGATCGAAGGCCTTCGCTATGTCCAAACTAACGGCCAATGCCTCCCCCTTAGACTCGTTTGCCTGTGATAGGTAAACAAGAAAAAGAAGTACAAAGTAGTTTTTGTACACTATCCACCCAAAGGAGAATGCCCACCGTTAATAAACACTTCGGCCATGGGTGCCCACATATAAAAGCATATGGAAATGATAATATACTATTAAAAGAATGAAATGATTAAGGAATTGGTTTAAAAAAAGTCCAAGTTTTTAAGATATAAAGGTTTTTTTTTTCACAATAACAGTTTTTTAACAACAAATGACTTCGTATTTTCGTGACATTTAAACCACAATTGACACAGCGTAAATGTACTCTTGAATGAGTTACTGAGAGCTGGGAAGAATTATGACTGGTGTGAAAGCTGAGGTCATCGTTAACAGTGGACATCGAGTCCAAGTTCGTGAAGAGGTTATCGTAAGAAGTGGGAGCGGGATCCATTTTTAAGGCCGTGGTCAATAGTGTGAGAAGAATTATAGGAGTCCATTTAGAAAGCTTATTCGTTGCTAAGATAACAAATCCGCGAGAAAACAAACAAAATAACACAAATGCAAAGGAATTCGACTTGTGGCTATTTAGTTTTGATAATTATGACATGTAGGCCATGTCATAATTATCAAAACTGTCAGATTCGATATTGCCAATTAACAGATATATAATCGATAAATCGATAGCATTTTTTTAATTCGATTTATAATTTCATAAAAAAGAATAATCTTTGATTCGCTTTAAGTTTTGCACGCGTTTTAAAATATGTTTTGTTTTATTTATTTAAATTCCATTTAAAATGTATTTTTAAGAACAGATAAGAATATCAGCTAAATTGTGCAGTAGCGTTTTTGTTATGATCTAAAGAGTTCATGGTAAATCAACTAGCAATTCGCTTGTTCCATTATCATAAAGTCATAATAATTATCGAAAACAATGTTGTGAGCCCATTGCCACTCCGTCTCTTTGCATGTAGAACTCTTCTTTCCACAATAAATAGCCAGATGTGAGGCAATGTTTGAGTAATATTGCATATTTTAAAATACAATTCACAATAGAGTTAGAGGCAAACAATACTTTAGCTTTCCTAGATGTTTTAGTCATCCGAAATCCTGATAACACTATTGGTCATACTGTGTACAGAAAAAATACCCATACCAACCGATATTTAAATGGTGAATCTCACCATCATCCTTCACAGTTAGCGACCGTGGGGAAATCTTTGTTTCAGAGAGCACGAGGGATCTGTGACAGAAAACATCTGGCCGCCGAGCTTCAGCACGTCGAGCAAGTACTGCAAGACAACAAGCTTCGGGTCCCGCGCCTACGTCACAGTGACCGAGTGAAGCCTGCCACAGTCGAGCGTGTGCCTGCTGTACTACCCTATGTCAGAGGAGTCACAGACAAGGTTGGCTACATCTTGAAGTGAGCTTCCATTAAAACATATTCAAGCCGCTGAAGAAGATTGGTCAATTTTTACCATCCGTTAAGTGTCATATCCCTCTACAAGATGCAGGAGTGTACAAGCTGGATTGTGAATGTGGTCTCTCGTATCTATATACGAGAGACCACATTCACAATCTTTTTGTTTGTCCTATGACAAACAAAAGATCTATTAAAACCCGCGTTATAGAACATATAGCTGACGTGAAGCACCGACGTATCGGGAAGTCTGCAGTTTGTGAACATGTTCAAGATCGTCCCCGCCATTACATTAGATTTGATAGACCACAAATCCTCGCAAAAGAACACCGATTCCTCCCAAGGATGATTCGCGAGGCTATTGAAATTAAAAAACATCCTAATTTCAATAGAGAAGATGGATGGGTGCTGCCATCTGCTGGGGATCCCATAATTAATAAAATCAAATCCAAGCCCAAGTATACCACTGCTAGACTTCAAGATACTGTAAGCTCATTCTGCGTAAATCGAACCAAAAAGTAATATTAAAAAACTGAAGGTAGCCGGGCTAATTATGACAGCTGGACGTCAAACACCTCAGTCCCCCGTGACCACGGGTGCTGGAAAGCACCCGAAACGTCGGGAATATAAAAATAAGTTAATATACGCGATAAAATCCGTAAAATTAGTTTTACTTAAAAATGTGTAGTATTTGCGTAAATATAAGAAATCATTATGTAAACCAGCACGGACTGGTAATTGCAAATAAAATTCGCCGATTAGAAGATCTCATGACCAAGCGCGTAAGATTTGTAACATCATTAAATTTTCTAAAACGTTGTCGCGACCACCATCTCATTCCTACGTGCGTCAAAATATCCACTAAAAAGGACATTCGAGGAAGCGCTAAGATCTTAAATCAGGCAAGTAAAAAGTTGTTACGAACGGTGATTCAGCAAAAACGGTTCGATTTACAAATCATAAATAATACCATAGACAATTTGTCCAGTGAGTTAAAGACAGTTTTAACGACATTTGATTTTAATAATTGCATTGAAACTTTAAACAAACGCAAAATATCGAAATATAATGAATGCAAAGACAAACAAATAGAAAAATACCAAAAATTAACTATCAAATCAAATGCCAAACATCCATGTCAACGTAGAAACGAAACGCAACAACCGTTGACCACAGACGCAAACAATAAACAACGCACGGTCTATAATTTGTCAAAAGAAACACTGGACGAACCTACAATAAAAGTATTGTTGAAAGGCTTGAATTTTGCTATAACGCCGCAAAAAATCCCGTACAAGGAAATTATCTGCAGTGTTGAGGATTGTCTGTTTAAGAATAATATCGGTAAAAAGGATTTAGAGGCTATACGTCAAGACATTTCGTCCTTGTTACGTCGCAGTTCAGCGCCGAAACTAAATCTCCCCAAAGACGAATTTAAAGCGTTGTACAACTTACGCAACAGACCAGAGCTCACAATTCTCCGCGCGGATAAAGGAAATGCTACGGTAATAATAAACACGTCAAAGTATAATTTTAAAATACAACAACTTTTATCGGACGTAAGTACATACAAAAAGGTCAAAATAGACCCTACAACTAATACACTTAAAACAACTATTGATTTAATAAAGAAATGTGATTTCGACAATACCATCATGTGCCAAACCACCGAGGTTGTATGGGTTACCGAAAACACACAAACCAAACGCTCCACTACGTCCTACAGTAAGCCAGATCGATTCACCAACTTATAAGTTGGCTCAAGCCTTGGCAAAAATACTGTCACCACTAAGAGGACATACCAGAGCACACACAAAGGATTCATACCATTTTGTTAGTGAAATAAAAGACCTACATCTCGCTGACAATGAAACTATGGTCAGTTTTGATGTTCAGTCACTATTCACAAGCCTACCTAATGAAGACTGCATCTCAATTGTTACTAGAAAGCTAGAAGATAACAACATGCCTACAGTATATGCAGTATTACTCAAACACTGCCTCACATCTGGCTATTTATTGTGGAAAGAAGAGTTCTATATACAAGTAGACGAAGTGTCAATGGGCTCACCTGTATCTCCCGTAGTCGCTGACATATTCATGGAGGACTTTGAGGAGAAAGCCCTTCTTACTGCTCCTGTAAATCCAAGATTCTACAAGCGGTACGTAGACGATACTTTCACAATTTTACCATCTGACAAAGTAACTGCATTTTTAAACCACCTTAATTCCATAAACCCTAAAATACAATTCACAATGGAGAGAGAGGCAAACAATACTTTAGCTTTCCTAGATGTTTTAGTTATCCGAAATCCTGATAACACTATTGGTCATACTGGGTACAGAAAAAATACCCATACCAACCGATATTTAAATGGTGAATATCACCATCATCCTTCACAGTTAGCTACCGTGGGAAAATCTTTGTTTCAGAGAGCACGAGGGATCTGTGACAGAAAACATCTGGCCGCCGTGCTTCAGCACGTCGAGCAAGTACTGCAAGACAACAAGCTTCGGGTCCCGCGCCTACGTCACAGTGACCGAGTGAAGCCAGCCACAGTCGAGCGTGTGCCTGCTGTACTACCCTATGTCAGAGGAGTCACAGACAAAGTTGGCTACATCTTGAAGCGAGCTTCCATTAAAACATACTTCAAGCCGCTGAAGAAGATTGGTCAATTTTTACCATCCGTCAAGTGTCATATCCCTCTACAAGATGCAGGAGTGTACAAGCTGGATTGTGAATGTGGTCTCTCGTACATAGGACAAACAAAAAGATCTATTAAAACCCGCGTTAAAGAACATATAGCTGACGTGAAGCACCGACGTATCGGGAAGTCTGCAGTTTGTGAACATGTTCAAGATCGTCCCCGCCATTATATTAGATTTGATAAACCACAAATCCTCGCAAAAGAACACCGATTCCTCCCAAGGATGATTCGCGAGGCTATTGAAATTAAAAAACATACTAATTTCAATAGAGAAGATGGATGGGTGCTGCCATCTGCTTGGGATCCCATAATTAATAAAATTAAATCCAAAACCAAGTATACCACTGCTAGACTTCAAGATACTGTAAGCTCATTCTGCGTAAATCGAACCAAAAATTAATATTAAAAAACTGAAGGTAGCCGGGCTAACTATGACAGCAGGACGTCAAACACCCCAGTCCCCCGTGACCACGGGTGCTGGAAAGCACCCGAAACGTCGGGAATATAAAAATAAGTTAATATACGCGATAAAATCCGTAAAATTAGTTTTATTATGAAAATAAAACTAATTTTATATTAATGAAAGATAATATAACAGAACTTTTAATATATGGTTCATTAATATAGTTCACTCTGATAACGCACTCAAATGAAACCTCAGGGTTTTTGTTACACGTTGTATATGTCCTTAACGGGTGTACATGCATTTCGAATCTATGGAATTATTTTTATCTTAGTGTTGCTTGCAAGGTTGCTTGACCCATGAAAGATAATATAACAGAACTTTCAATATATGGTTCATTAATATAGTTCATTACAAACTAATGACGTTTGACATTTTGTTAACCAATACAAACAACACACACATACACACACACACACACACACACACACACACACACGCACGCACGCACACACACGCACGCACGCACGCACGCACGCATGCACGCACGCACGCACGCACGCACACGCACGCACGCACGCACGCAAGCACGTACGCACGCATGCACGCACGCACGCACGCACGCATATGCATAGTGGAAAGTTTTGTGGAACGACACTATTGTAGCTTGAAATTCGTTTATACGCCGACTACTAAATGTAATGCTCCAATCATTACAGAGCATTATATTTTTAGTCGGTGAAAACTTATAACCCTATCTCATATTTTCTTTTGAATAAAATATTAATATAACTAATTATTTAGGTAAGCCCTCATTAGTCACTTAAAATTATCATCTACCTTATTGTTCATTATCAAATATTAATTTAAACCATGTAACTTATAATACATCAGATATTTGTTATTGCCATTATTATCCAATAAATAAAATTGCCCTCGTTTATATGACTTCGTTATTGGAATAATTTTCCAAGATTAGATAACACAATTTTTTCAATACAATAGCTACAATGCATAATCTTAAGGTATGTGCCGTAAATATATGAAAATATTAAGCCTATATTGGTTAACACTTAGGTATACAGATTAGGATAAAAATGTGAAACTTACTGTGCAATTTAGCAATAGATCTCTCACTCCCGCCTAGCTCTTCTGGTAACACATCTTTCTGGACAACTTTGTGCAGTGATTCTAAATCCTTGTGTATTTGAATGCGTTGACCTACTTTTGCACTGAGAATTTGTTTAAAAAGTGAAACTAAGGTTTCCACAGTTTTTGAGGGAGTTAATATATGCATAGCTTTCACTCTCAATCCGTAACCGTCCTGAAAATATCATGTTCTAATAAGTTATAAATTTGTTCATCACAACAGAATAATCGTTACATAACAGCATAGTCGATTCCAGCTAAAGTTATTCAAGGATTGTTATTAATTTCATAGATTCCATTTCTGTATCCACAACACCGTGAATAGTACATCAAGAATCTGTGGATTTACTCGCTGTACTCGTTTGCTTATTATTCAGATTTAGTAGATGCACTTTTGTTTTATATTTTAATTTATTTTGGGTCAAAAGAACTAAGATTAATTATGAAGGACGAAACATTATAAAACTGACATATTAAGAATAAATGGAATCAACAATGCATGTTATTGCATAAATATATAAAAATACACATAGAAGAGGCTTAAATCGTCTGTCTTAAATGTGTGGCGGTACGGCCCTAGCTGTTTGACCGTACGACGATTTTCGGAAGCTCTCGGCTGCGTGGGGGTAACCAGCTAGGTTTTCCCTGGCTTGCCAGTCGATCCGACCGTCGGGAATCGTGAGGCCGCTCTTTCGCGCTCCGATTTGCTACTTTATATTTAAGTAATAAATTAACGGTTATTTAATATATTCGGTGTTTTAGTAATTCACATTCCCACAGATGTTAAAGCCTAATGTAAAAGTTATGTCATAAAATATAAAGTTATGACATATATACGCCCCAGCAGTGGGAAGTATAGGTATTTATGCCATAACTTTGCATATATACGTCCCATGCACGCACAAAGACCTCAGACTCATGTCTGAGCAGATGTTAGGGTAATGGAATGTCTGTCATACTGCCACAGAGAGTGTTGATGAACTTCACATATCTTTTAAATATTTTTTTTTATTTCTCGGGCATATAGGTTCCCCACGATATTTTCCTAGACCTTCACTAAACACTTTACTAGACCAAGGAGGCAGTCCAACAGTACATTAAATTAAAATGATACCAGTGATATATTTTACGTATAAAGAGTACTAGCTGTGTCAGCTGGTGTTGCAATACCAGTTTTTTGTCAGAATTCTTCGCGCGCACCTGCATTTATTAGCAAAATTTAATCGTTATCTGACAAACGACATTACGAGATATAGAAAACAAAAAAGCAAATATTATTTCTTTGTCAAAAACCTTTACGTGCGCTCACACAATTCACCGAAGTAGGGCGCATACAAGAACAAACAAACAATGTTATATGGTCTATAACTACCATATTATTTTCCAATGTTCCAATAAATAAAGAAACGGGGACTGAACAATCAAATATCAATGCAACCGATGTCATAAAATGAAGGCAAATGTCGAAATTTTATCGAAACTCTAACGTCTCACAACAAAAACAAGTTTACACTAAGTCTCGGGCCTAAACTAGAACTTGTTTCAATAAAGATGTTCCGTGGAAAATATGAGAACTATATTTTGTCAAACCACACAGGAAATAGCCCAACACTTTGTGCTAGTAATCTAAAGAATCTGTTTCATAAAAACCTAAACAATCATGGCTGATTTTGAGTATTGGCTGATTTTGAGTAACTCTTAAAAATAAATATTTGTGCTTTGCATAGAATGGAGTGCCATTTCGTCTCATGGATGTCGTAAGAGGAATGGGATACACAAGATAATCTTATGAATTTTAAAAGATACGGCGGTATACCATCTGGTTACGCTGGATATAAAAAATCAAACCGACCAGGGGTAGCACCTTCAATGGAGCAATAGATAAAAATATTATCCGCAAAGAGACTAGTCCTATTGTAGTAAGTAAAATGTAACAAAAGTAAGAATAAATTATTTAACCATAAAATACTTACAATTAATAATGTAAGAGCTTGGCGCAATTGAACAAAGTCCAGTACTTTTAATAGTTCTACTAGATCGGTTTCTGAATAGTCTATAACTATTATCATTCCTCTGCTATAATCATTAGCTGTCACGTATTCTGCCGTCTGTAAATAAAGATAAAAATTAAATTTTTATAAAAATAAGTAGTCTGTAACTTCCAGCCAGTGGCTGGAAGTTAGGTTAAGAAGACTACTATACAAGGCTGTAATTCTTCTAATACGCCATATATGTCTTAGAACAAAAGGAAATATTATTTAACGGAATTTTAAAGTAATATAATTTCATTATCGTTACTCGCAAGTTTTTTTTTTAAATTTAGATATCATAAAAAAATTAAATACGTTTTAGTGACCAGGGATGGAAAACTGCTGCAGTAGGTCGATTCGTCTAGTCCTGCTAACGTAATTACCCTGGCACAAATTTTGTTTACAGCAAATTCCCCCTACTTTAATAGAGGACCATGTTTAACATTGGTTAACAAAAATGTAATTTAGTTCCCCCTCTGCTCAAAAACTTCATTAAAAAAACAAATAGTGTAGAATTAAATATGTTGGTAAAATGAGTTTCATATTATTTTAATGCTTAATCAATGTCAGTTTTGTCATAAATTTAATAAGTTAGTGAACGAATTATATCCTATACTTTCAGCAAGAAATTCTTGTGTGTGTACGAAGGTGACTTAATAAGTTTTGAGATACACAAAAAATATTCTAGATACTGTTACGCGCCACTATTAATGTCTTGTACATGGCAACACTAGTCACACTAGCGCCCTCTAGTGTCGAGTAGCAGAACTAGGAGAGTCGAGATCCTTCCAGAAATTTCGGGACCGATATGTACTCGAACATTCTAGATGTCGCTACAGTAGAAGGTTCTGGAAACTATCTGAGGCCCTATATAAGGCCGGTATAGACCACGACCGGGGCAGTATTGAATTGGCGATACAAGAGAATACTTCGAAGCGAAATAACGGCGAACTGTGTTTTATTATTAGTGTGATTTTTGATTGTAATTAGTGTTGTGTAATTAAAGTGTCAATTTTGGTAATTCAGTCGGCAGTTTTTAATTGTCTCGAACCCGAAGCTCGTAACAATTGGTGTCAGAAGTGGGATCAAATATGCCGATTTTACCTAAAGACGACACGGAGGGTATCCGTACCCGAAGTCAACGCCAACAGGAGACGGACCAGAGACGATTTGGTAATGCAACGCCGCAAACGTCGGAGGGCCAGTTGCTAACCACGGAGGCTGGCCCGTCAGCAGCTCCTGCATCTGCAGCACCTGACTTAGGTGCTCTGATGATGATGCTGCAGGATCAGGCTCGCCGACAGGAGGAACAGGCCCGCCGACAGGAGGAACAGGCCCGCCGACAGGAGGAACAGACCCGTCGGCTGGAAGAGCAGCTGCAGCGCGGTATGGAAGAACAGATGCTCCTCAGGAAGGACCTTCACGCTACCTTCGGGAAAGAGATAAAGGAGGTGAAGGATAGGGTTGCTCAACATGACAACCGCCTGTCGGAAGCTGAAACCCGAATCGACCAAGTGAACAATCGGGTTGACAACGTGATGGCTGATGTGAAGAAAACGCTGGACGACTTCAAACTTGGGGATAGAGTTACAGCTCCCGTGGTAGCTACAACACCTTCGCTACGTGGATTCAAAGTGCCACCGTTCGACGGGACTTCTTCCTGGTCGGCCTATAAAATCCAGTTCGAGGCTGTCATGAAAGCGAACGGCTGGAATAAAAGTCAGGCGATGACTGCTCTCACCCTAGGCCTGCGCGACCAGGCATTAACTGTTCTGGAAGCTCTCGGTAAGGAAGTGACTTACGAGCAGCTCCTTGAGGCATTGGAGGCGAGATATGGCGACGCTCACCTGGAACACGTCTTTCGTGCGCAGCTCAAAGATCGCGTGCAACGCAGTAACGAAAACCTGCAGCAGTGGGCCCTTGAGGTGGAGAAGCTGGTTCGAAAAGCGTACCAGTCTGTACCTGCGCTTATTGTAGGGAACCTGGTGCAGACATTCATCGACGGCATCCGCGACCTTGAAGTCAGAGCTGCTGTGAGGCTCGGGCACCACGAGACGCTTAAGGACGCCTTGACCCATGCACTGGAGGTGGAAGCCGTGCGGCAGGATCATCGTTCCCACCGCGTCAGGGAGGTTGCAGCAGCTAAAGTTCAGGACCGCAATAAAAGCTACAGCCCTAGGTGCTACGGCTGTGGAGAAAGGGGCCATCTTCGATCCAGCTGCCCTAAGCGAACTGTAAAAAGGGAAGGTGATCGATCTCGAGAGGGTAGTGCGGATAATAGCACCGCCCAGCAGCAGCAGGGAAACTGGCGGGTGCTGGCTGATGTTAAAAGAGCCCCAAGGATTTCGATCTCACAAACTCATGATGGGAACAGCCTAATCATCAAGGGCGAAGTCAACGGAACGCCATGTAAACTGACCATAGACACTGGAGCCTCTCGCACGGTTGTCAGTTCCCAACTTATAAGTCGGTTCCTTGGTGACTCCGCATACAACCGAGAACGCATTAATTTGGTGACAGCCACTGGTCAGCGCATACCCGTCCGTGGAGAGAAGGAGATGGAGTTGAAGCTAGGCAACATGATCTACCTGCATAATGTCATCGTGGCTGATATAATGGACGACTGCATCCTGGGCCTAGACTTTATGAGGAAGAATTGTTGTGAGATTGACGTTAAGCAAGGTGTTTTGAAATGTGGACAAGAAGAAATTTTCATGGAAGGGGCGTTACCAGGGAATGTGTACAGCCTTAAGAAGATTGTTCTTCCGCCGAGATCGGAAACGATTGTGCCGGTTAGTCTTCCTCGGAGTCCTGGGCAAGCTCATCGTTGTGTACTCGTGGAAAGGGTAGACAATGACCTTCCATGGAAAGTGGCTCGAACCTTGGTCAGAACCACCGACATCTCAGGAGTACGTGTGTTGAATCTTTGTGATCAGGAACAGATTATAGAAAAAGGCACATTGGTTGGTACTAGTGAGGAAGTGGATTGGTTGCGTCGGTGCGAATATCTATCGACCGGGACCCCTAGCAAGGATGGACAAACGAGAGTGATCACACTTTTAGAAGACTGTCGCAGCGTTCTCTCCCCGAATGAAATGGTCAAGGCGAAGAAGTTGTTACTCAAGTACGCCAATGTTTTCTCGTCAAACGAAGCTGACATAGGAAAGACTGGCTTAGTTCAACACAAAATAAACACAGGACAAGAATTGCCTATTCGTCAGCGGCCTGTAGCACGTGAAAAGGAAGTGGAAACCATGATTGAGGGAATGGTGAAGGATGGTGTTATTGAACCTTCATCTAGTCCATGGTGTTCACCTGTGGTGCTGGTAAAGAAGAAGGACGGCAGCATGCGGTTTTGTGTTGACTATCGCCGCCTGAACGACATTACAAAGAAGGACAGCTATCCCTTGCCAAGAATTGATGACACGCTGGATATGCTTACAGGCGTAAAGTGGTTTAGTACGCTAGATCTGAAAAGTGGCTACTGGCAGGTTGAAATTGACCCTAAGGACAAGGAGAAAACTGCATTCTCCACAGGAAAGGGTCTGTGGCAATTCAAAGTCATGCCGTTTGGATTGTGCAATGCTCCAGCAACGTTTGAAAGGTTGATGGAGCTTGTACTTACCGGGCTAATTGGAGATGCCTGTCTCGTCTATTTGGATGACATCATCATCGTAGGCCGTACGTTTGAGGAGCACCTTCAAAACCTGGAACGCGTGCTCATGAATATCCGGAGTGCCAACCTCAAGTTGAGTCCAAAGAAGTGCTCACTATTCAAACGGCAAGTTAGTTTTTTGGGGTATGTAGTGTCGGAAGAAGGTATCCGCACGGATCCAGAGAAAATTGCTGCTGTCAAGGAGTGGCCGGTCCCAAAAGACAAGACACAGGTTAGAGCATTTTTGGGTTTGTGCTCTTATTATCGGCGATTTGTGAAGAACTTTGCAGATATAGCCAAACCTCTGCACAAGCTAACCGAGGAGAAGCGACAATTCTGCTGGGATGAAAGTTGCGATATTGCATTCCAGGAGCTCAAGAACCGTCTGTGCAAAACACCTATTTTGGGGTACCCTGATGCGGGCAAGGAATTCATAGTTGACACAGACGCAAGTGATATAGGACTTGGCGGTGTGTTGTCTCAACGGAATGGTGATCAAGAGATTGTGATAGCGTACTTCAGCAAGTCGTTGTCAAAGCCGGAAAGGAACTATTGTGTCACAAGACGGGAATTGCTTGCTGTGGTAAAGTCCTTGCAGCATTTTAGCAAATATCTTCTAGGGCGGAAATTCCACTTACGAACTGACCATGCTGCACTGAAATGGCTATTGCAGTTCAAAAATCCGGAAGGACAAGTTGCGAGATGGATAGAACTACTGCAGGAATACAACTTTGTGATCGAACATCGCAGCGGGAAATCTCATGGCAATGCAGATGCATTGTCAAGAAGACCTTGCCCTGAAGATTGCAAGCATTGTACTAGGCAAGAGGGTAAGGAAGTGGTATCTGTGAGAATGCTCAGGACAGACCAGCTCAGCAATGAGTGGAAGGACAGCCTACAACATGCACAGCAGGAAGATTCGGACATTAAGCCGATTCTGGAATGGATGAAGGCCAGTGCTCCTAAGCCCAAGTGGAGCGACGTCTCAGCAATGAGTTCGACCACGAAAAGCTATTGGGCCCAATGGGACAGCTTGCTGATTCAGGATGGAGTCCTGTGCCGTAAATGGGAAAATGGTCGGGGAGACAGGTGTCATTTGCAAATGGTTGTCCCTAAGGATAAAGTGCCGGATATTCTACGGCTGTACCATAGTGGTTGTTCAGGAGGCCACCTGGGAGTTAAACGAACTCTCCTGAAGATCCGAGAACGGTTTTACTGGGTCCACTGTCGTGACGATGTCGAGGACTGGTGCCGCAAATGTACAAGTTGTGCGGCTGTAAAGGGACCTCAAATTCGTAGTAGAGGCGCATTGAAATTGTACAATGTTGGTGCACCATGGGAGAGGATAGCCATTGACGTTGCGGGGCCGTTTCCAGAAACTGAAAGTGGTAACAAGTATTTCATGGTAGTGATGGATTACTTCACTAAGTGGCCAGAAGTCTTCGCCATTCCAAATCAAGAAGCTTCAACAGTTGCAGATAAACTAGTTCATGAAGTCTTCTGTCGTTTTGGAGTACCTTTAGAGATTCACAGCGATCAAGGAAGGAATTTTGAGTCTCAAATATTCCAGGAAACTTGCCGAGTTATGGGTACTCAGAAAACACGAACAACTTCTTACCACCCACAATCTGATGGAATGGTAGAAAGATTTAATCAGACATTGGAGAGGTACCTAGCAAAAGTTGTGGAAAAACGGCAACGAGACTGGGACAGGCACATACAACCGTTTTTGTTGTCATATCGAAGCGCTGTTCACGAAAGTACATCAGTGACACCAGCTTTCGCAAACTTTGGGAGAGAATTGCGGCTGCCTGCAGACCTGATCACCGGAATACCACCTGATGCCCCACGCAGTATAACCGATTATGCAAATGACTTGCGGAACAAAATGAATGACATTTATGAGCACGTCAGACAGACGGGCCAGCAAACGTCTGAGAAGATGAAAACACGGTATGACCGCAAAATGAACAACAAGGGCTTTGATGAAGGTTCACTAGTGTGGTTACACAATCCAGTTCGCAGCAAAGGGAAATCTCCTAAGCTTCAAGCTAAATGGGACGGACCGTACCGGATTGTGACAAGGATCAATGATGTAACCTACCGGATACAGAAAGGTGCCAGAGGTACTCCTAAGATTGTCCATGTGGATCGACTGGCGCGTTATTATGGGGCCAATAATGCTCGGGACGAGCATATCTTAGGAGGGGGCAGTGTTACGCGCCACTATTAATGTCTTGTACATGGCAACACTAGTCACACTAGCGCCCTCTAGTGTCGAGTAGCAGAACTAGGAGAGTCGAGATCCTTCCAGAAATTTCGGGACCGATATGTACTCGAACATTCTAGATGTCGCTACAGTAGAAGGTTCTGGAAACTATCTGAGGCCCTATATAAGGCCGGTATAGACCACGACCGGGGCAGTATTGAATTGGCGATACAAGAGAATACTTCGAAGCGAAATAACGGCGAACTGTGTTTTATTATTAGTGTGATTTTTGATTGTAATTAGTGTTGTGTAATTAAAGTGTCAATTTTGGTAATTCAGTCGGCAGTTTTTAATTGTCTCGAACCCGAAGCTCGTAACAATACTATTAATACTTATTTTACATCTTTTCAAAATATTTTCCATCATGCTCTACACAAAGTTCCATTCGCCTAAACCAACTCTAAAAACACTTTTGCCAGTCTTGATCTGACAGGTCGGAAATCGCTTCTTCGTAGGCAGCCACGGCTTCTTCGGCGCTTGAAAGAAACTTGCCTTTATTTTTTCTTTGACTCTTGGGAACAAAACGAAATCACAAGGAGCTAAGTCAGGGCTGTAGGGTGGGTGACTTAGAGATTCAACTCCAGATTCCTCAATAAATGCTTTTGTTCTAAGGGAGGTATGTGAAGAGGCGTTATCGTGATGCAGTTGCGTTAATTTGCAAGTTGACCTATGTGCATCGGTGATTAATTTGGTTGAATTAATTCTGTAGTTGAACATTGATGCTTTTGAAAAATTAGTTGAAATATGAGCATAGGACTACTTGTCTAACAGGCTAGCTAGTTTTGGAGATTACCAGATTGAAATCAGCTGCCGCACTATTTTAGTAAATGATAATATGGTGGGTGGCCTGGCTAGGCCTACTTGTTGAAAATTCATACTAGGGACTATCTGTGCGTTTCGTTCGGCTCTCCACAGACGCCGTTCATGTGGAATTTGTGGGTGCTCTCTGCACTGAAGCTTAGGAGGCCGCTCGGGGCCGCTTCGTGTCGCGTCGCTGTTTGCAGACCTGATCCGGTCGGATTGCGGAACTAATCGTAGGGGCACAGATAGGTGTTGAAAGAGGTCGTCGGACTTCTGTCCAGAATAGGACTTATTTATGGGCTGCGATGTCCAGGAAGGGCATCCAGTTCAACCCTCCGGCTTGCCCACGTTGGGGCGGTAATTTTGAGGCGTTGGTTAGGGTTGCAAGATCTGATGGGGTGCCTAAGGTGGCCTAGTTTGGTTGTAGATTCGGTCTTGCAACTTGCCGTCGCGACCTTGTGCCGCTGACCGGTTTGCTCGCGGACCTAAATCCTTATGTCCGGGACGGGGGTTTGTTCGCGCCAAGCGCTAGTTTCAAGGATTGACGCGAGAGGACGCTCGGCGCGGTGCAATCATACCGGTTTGACTTTCGGTCGAGCGAAAAACGCACAAGGGCATGTAGTCGTCTTTAAGCAGTGCTAACGATTGGCACGCTGTCATTTTGTCGGGAACTCGGAATAATTAAGCGCGGACAATAAAAATACGGTCTAGGATTTGTGGCGCGCATCCCTACTGGAGAGCTTCCCCGGGACACATTGTGTCTGACTCAGAATCTGCATAAGTGCATTCGGCAATATTAGCTAGTGCGGCCTCTGATATTCTAGAACTAACTGTTGCAACGCGAAACGGTAGCGACCTTTGATCCAGAAACTCCGTGTGCGTTTTGTGCGGTAACCTTATACCCCGCGATAGTTAGTGGCTTCTGTAAGTTAGTTAATCGCACGATAGAGTTAATTGACTGTCATCGTGACGAACGAGAAAGTGAATGTGGACAGTGCCTCGGAAGGCCCCCTCAAGTTGGAGCGGTGTCGACGCCCGGGCAGCTGCCGACGGCTAAGGTCTAGGTTCAATCACCATCAGTCACACCCAGATACACATCACATCACCTTCTTTCCCTTGCACTACACAACCACATGCGACCTGACCGACTCCGGAGGGACCAGTCGCCTTGGATATAGATAAGTAAGCTACGTCCAAATTCCTTCCGGTCGACTGGCCTTAGTATAACGCTCCCCCATATATTTTAGTGTAATTAGAGAGATTCCACGTGGCCACATTGAGGCCCGACCTACGTCTGCTCGGGAAGTCTTCAGCTCATGGGCCCCTGAGGATTTGACCCTTTAAGGGAGCAGCCGTAGGCCGTAACACATAAAGACATTTATTTCGACACTTCAGGTTACAATCACAAATTAATAAACAAAATTAATACGATTAAGAATAAAAAAAAAACAAAAACACAAGAAAATTAATAAACAAAAAAAAGTAGAGGATATAACAACAATTCATGATTTAATAATCGAAACAGATGAAGTGGCGGAAGGGACTGCCTCAGCATAAGTCGCGGGATAGCGACGCTGATTTTCATTCGGCCCCATACGGTCCTACGGAGACCATGCCGTAAGTGTCCAAATTAAGCGAGTAGTAGATACATATGATAATAACAACTGATGAATGATAATAACAAAATGGAAAATACGTATTGTATAGTTGTGCTGAACGCTACATGAGACGTGACGAGAACATTAATGTCATAATTTAATTTAACAGTTATTATACTGTACACGCCCCTAGCTGCCCCAACAGAGGTTGACGGGACTAGGGCCCATGAGTAATCCCAGGAATCCCATCGACTAGCAACAAGGGACGGGGCCCAACGGCCTATGGAGACTTATTATTCTTCACAATAGATATAAGGATAGGTAAAGAAATAGTACTTACCTGGTTCCGAAACTAAGACTGCCCCAAGGCTCGGTCAGGCGGTAGGTAGGTGCATGTAAGTAGTGTATAGTAGTGTGTATAATGTTTGACCTGACTTAGCCGTTGAAGTCGGACCGCAGATCCAGCGTTGCTTCTCTCCAAAGGTGGTAGTTCACTTTATTCGACCTCAAGTCTGACGTCACTTCACTATTTTAGTTTATCAACTCTATTGTACACTATTTAAATCGATCAACTTTATTTGTACATTTAATTAACTTCAAACTCAACTAAATCAACGTTAATCAAAATCAAAACGTAACACACGGCACGACTAATGAACGGTGGATCAAAGTTCACTTCCGTTTCACGTAGCAATAAGATTATAACCACGAGCAAGAACGTCAACCCGTAGGAAATCACCGCGCTGAGCGCCCCCGGCGTCGATTCTTGAAATTAGCGTTTGGCGCGAACACATACATATACACATGGATACATACTTTTAATAGGCTTTTTGTAATAAAAAATAATATGTAATAGCATAATAAATATTATGTAAACGGAAAATCAGTAGCTAGAAAGGCTGAAGAAGAATGTCGCGGAATACTGAGCCTATTATAAGATGAAGCGCGGGTGAGATACTTGCTATGCTCGCGAGACCAGTCTCACTTGCTAAAAAGATACTTTAGGTTTTTTGTCTTTATGACGCCAAAAAGTACACAAGCTAAGTGAAGTTTGCGTCTGGCAGCCATTTTAAGAATATTATTGTCGTCAAGAAATGGGCTTACGTGACCTCTTGGCGGTACATCGAAGCAAAACCTCGCACAAGCATTTTGGACCCTTTGAATAAGGTTTGCGGTATGTGACAGTAAACAAGGCCCATAAACCGTATCAGTATAATTAAAATTTGATAGTACTAGGGTGTCCGAAAGTCTTTTCGTAATTCTATACTTAAGAAAGAAGAAAAAAGAAGTCCATATCCAAAATGTTAACTTTTAGAGGCTGATAAAAAAGAAGAATAGAATAAATACAGGTAATCTCCAGTGATATATATATATATATAATATATATATATATATATATATATATATATATATATATATATATATATATATATATATATATATATATATATATATATATATATATTATAGTACAATATTTTATATTTGCACAATAGTCAGCTCAATCTACGTTAATCAAAACAAATTTAATAATAAAAATGAATGTTATATTCAAGATTATATGGCAATTATAGTTGTGCAAAGCCCTCGAAACAAACAATTTGAAATAGAACCGATAAAATTTGTAAAATAAAGAATTCAAATTTTATGGTTTGTAATAAAGAGACGAAAATTCTTACCGCAATTGTCAATAGATAGTAACTCATTATATCGTAATCAAAACGTTTTCCAACATTTTTTATTAAGTAAATTCTGTAATAGTCATCAGTCATTTTAGGTAATATCCCATCCCACCTGAAAATGCAGTTTAGTTAAATTAGTAGTCATCTGTATCGTCGAATATTTTAGAAAAAATCAGGTCAAAAATATGATTGTTGCAGCTTAGGGAAACGTTCCGTACTATAGAGCGATGAAAAACAATACTTACAGAATGTCCGAATATTTGTACTCAGTCTTAAAATCTATAAATTTATAGAACTGTGGCATCAACGTCCTAAGAGTGCAATTTCTGTCTATTTTTGACTTTGCGCGCTCCACTGAACCCTTGCAGAAAATTAGTCTTCTCTCTAAATATTCTCTGGCTAAAACAAGCCAATTAATAAATTAAAATTTTCGGAAAACACCTCGATGCCCTATTTTATTTTTAATTGAGGCACTGATCCTTTCGTATGACCTTATTCTATATAAAAAAAAACTCAAAATGTTTATCAACTTCTCGCAAACTAAAAATAATTTAAAAAATTCAATAATGCATTAGGGTCATCCAAAGGGAAAATGCTTTAAAAGCTTTTGGTAAAATAGCTTAGTTGATTAAATGGTTCAGTTATTTGTAATCATATTAACACCATGCCCACAGTTGGACTGACGTAACAGTAAGTATCATTAAACCAGGTTTTTCTTTACATACATAAGAGTCACTCAATCTAAGAATAATTGAAGAATATTAAAAGAAAAATTGACGCAGGTGTAGCTATTGAAAGAAAAATAAAGTAAAGAAAAGAAACTAAAAAAAGCAAAATGGATTACAGAAGTGAAGTTTTATACGTGGCAGAGCCATGCTGCAGCTATATTAGTAGTATAGTTGTAGCACGAATGGGTCGGCTCAACCGGGTAAAGACTACGCTCTCACAGCCTAACACTACTGTATTTCGTATGGTAAATGTAGAGAACTGTAGACCTTTTTTACTGGAAAAGAGGCATTCCATCTTAGGCCTCACGGGTGAAAACGCATCTGCATGTTTTTTTCTATAGTATAGGGTGACAAACGAGCACACAATCCACCTGATAGTAAGTGGTCGCTGTGGCCCATAAACATCTACATTTATCCTCGTTTGCGAATCAAAATGCAGATGCGTTGTCACCCGTGAGGACTAAGATGGAATGCCTCTTTTCCAGTAAAAAAGGTCTACAGTTCTCTACATTTACCATACGAAATACAGTAGTGTTAGGCTGTGAGAGCGTAGTCTTTACCCGGTTGAGCCGACCCATTCGTGCTACAACTATAGGTACTACTAATATAGCTGCAGCATGGCTCTACCACGTATCTTGGCTCTTTATTGAGAAAAGATATAGATATCTATGGATCACAGCAACCACCTACCATCAGGTGGACTGTGTGATCGTTTGTCACCCTATCCTATAAAAATAGAATACATGTTTCCGAAAATAGTGCAAAAAATATTGTTTTGTTGGGCGACCCCAAATTGATACAGCGGCAACCAGGAGGATGTCAATGGATGCAGGTGGCTCAGAACCGTGCTTTGTGGCATTACATGAGGGAAGAATTATTCAGCAGTGGACTTGTAAACGGCTGTAATTGTGGCGATGATGATGAATTTGATGACATTTTAAGAAATCTATCATACATTTACACTGGTGTACGAGTTTTTCCACCTATGGCTAATATAAAGATCTGCAGCAATTATTAAGACTCATATGCAGAAAAAAAAACTCAATCCGCCTTTTTCATTACATTTGCACACAACATGTATTGATGACACTGGTTTACTATTGTACTGTTTCTAACTAAAAGGGTATGACGTTATTCTTTTTGTTTTGCTTGTTGTATTTAGATATACATTTAGTGGCGGAGTAAGAATATCCACCACCCCATGTCATCCCGTGGGTGTCTTAAGAGGCGACAGAGGGAAATAAATCAGGAAATGGGCAGCAGCGTCTTCCTAATAACGACTAAAAAAACTGCGGTTGTCAACCCACTTGCTGCGCCTGGAATTTATGGCAAATATCTCTCTAAGAGCTATGGGGGAAGCCTACGTTCAGTAGTTGACTTTAGTATGCTGTAATGGTTTAGATTATATTAGATTTATATCTTTTGCTTGAAAATTGAAAACAGATTAGAATTTGCAGTGGTACGATTGTGGTAAATATTTCCTCCAGTGGGATAGACACTATTTTTAGCATCTTACAGCCTAATGATAAAGAAACAGCTGCCCGACCCTCTGTCATGAATGTGTCGAAATAACGAATTCACCATACTTCTAGGAACAGAAATATACCTGCTTTGTGACGTTAGCCTTAATTTTTTTCAAGCCTCACTTGATGTCTATTTTTAGTTACAAACTTTTAACTAAATTCAGTTATTGATTTTACGTTCTTATAAGACAACAAGATGATTGTTGTTTGTCATTTATTACGTTTTTAAAATATAACGAAACAAAAAAGTATTGCAAGCCCTGGATAACAACACATACATTGTCAGAATTCACTTTGAATAAATTTTAATTTTAATTAATAACATGCCATACATATAAACTTTTATCCAAGTTATTTAAGTATTCACTTTAAATTACATGGATAACAGTTTTTAAATTATTTCTGAAATATAAATATTTTTAAAATACTTACGATAATCTTTTTTCTCAAAATGATTTTGTTTTTTCACCCACTCCTGTAAAACATCGATAGCTTGATCCATACTTCCTAGCTTATCCAAATTGTAATCCTTACGAATGGTTTGAAGTGTATCTTTATTGAACTCGAGCAGAGGGTTCATCGGTAACGATTCCATTTTAAGCCTCCTGCTGAAATTAACCAGCTGATCATCTAAGTGCCAAACAACTACTAAATAAACTTTGCTTCGGCGTCAAATAATAAATAAAGATAACTCAAATACATTAGTATATTTTCGATATAAAAACTGTTTTACCAGAGATAACTATACAAATAAAATTATAAAAAAATCAAGGCTACAACAATTAATTAAAGAATACTGACGTAAGCACTACCTAGCATTAATTATTTAGTTTTAATTAAATCCAAAGACGTAAAGCGGAACAATTTATAGACATAAATTAATTTCTCATCATCATCATCATTACAGCCCTTCACAAGTCCACTGCTGAACATAGACCTCCCCCAAAGAATGCCACAAAGCACGGTCCTGAGCCACCTGCATCCATCGACTTCCTGCATGTCTGACCAGGTCGTCACTCCATCTCGTGAGGGGACGCCCTATACTTCGCCTACCGGTACGAGGCTGCCACTCGAGAACCTTTCTTCCCCATCGGTTGTCGGTTCTTCGAGCTATATGGCCGGCCCACTGCCACTTCAGCTTACTAATCCGTTGGGCTATGTCGGTTACTCTGGTTCTACTGCGGATATACTCATTCCTAAGTTTATCACGCAGAGAAACTCCGAGCATAGCCCTCTCCATAGCTCGCTGAGCGACCTTGAGCTTCCTCATACGGCCAGCAGTGAAGGACCACGTCTCAGTTCCGTAAGTCATCACTGGCAACACGCACTGGTTGTACAATTTCGTTTTCAGGTTTTGAGGTATGTCTGACGAGAAGATGTGTCGTAGCTTCCCGAAAGCTGCCTAGCCGAGTTGAATCCGTCGATTGACCTCTCGGTCGAAGTTGGACTTACCTAATCGGACTATTTGTCCCAGGTAAACATACTCGTCAACAACTTCGAGCTTAGTGCTCCCAACAACTACCGGCATAGGTGTGACATGGACATTGAACATGATCTTTGTTTTGTCCATGTTCATCTTAAGACCTATCCGTTGGGAAACACTATCGAGGTCATTGAGCATAGTGCTTAGGTCCTCCAGCGATTCTGCCATAAGGATTATATCGTCGGCAAATCGAAGGTGAGTGATGTACTCGCCATTGATGTTGATACCGTATCCTTTCCAGTCCAGAAGCTTGAAAACGTCTTCCAATGCAGCGGTGAAGAGTTTCGGGGATATGACGTCACCCTGTCTTACACCTCTCTGCAGTTATATAGGTTTCGTAATCTGATTCTGTACTAGGATAGCCATCGTAGCCCTACTGTACAAGCCCTTCAACACTTCGATATACCGACAGTCAACTTGGCACCGCTGAAGGGACTGCAGCACCGCCCAAATTTCGACGGAATAAAAGGCTTTCTCATAGTCCACATACGCCAGACATAGTGGCAAATTGTACTCTTCGGACTTCTGTACAATTTGCCGAAGGGTATGTATGTGGTCTATGGTGCTAAAGCCCTTTCGGAAACCGGCTTGTTTGGGAGGCTGAAAGTCGTCAAGTCTGCGCGCGAGAAGATTCGTAATGACTCTCGAAAACAGCACGTAGACGCGGCTCAGTAGGGAAATCGGTCTGTAGTTCTTCAAGAGAGCGTTGTCACCTTTCTTGAAGAACAAGACCACCGCACTTCTGCTCCACGCCTCCGGTGTAATGCCACCATGGAAGACGGAATTAAAGAACTTCTGAAGGACTTCAAGTACCGGTCTTCCACCCGCTTTCAGAAGCTCCGCTGTAATTCCATCCTCGCCTGGGGCCTTACCGTTTTTAAGGTGCTGGAGAGCCATTCTAATCTCGCTCAGACTGACGTCCGGGATATCTTCGGAATAGTGTCGGATGAGACTCGCTCGTGGATCGTTACTCACACTTGCGTGCGGCTCCAACGATGACGTGTACAGCTGCCCATAGAACCTCTTAATCTCACTCAAAATCTGAGGTGTCCCGGAAACGATGCTGCCATATTCTGTCTTCAGCTTAGACAGTTGGCTCTTTCTGGCAGACAGATCTCTGGCAAAGACTTTGGAGCCTTGGTTCCGCTCGATCGCTTCTTCAATACGAGCTGTATTGAAGTTGCGTAAGTCCCGCCGCATGCATGAGATCTGTCTGTTCAGATGCCTGTATGCTGTCAAGTCTGTTGAAGAATGTGCGTGCGTTGTACGTTGCCAGGTCGAGTCGTCTAAGGTGGCAACCGAACCTCCACCGGAGATTCTTAGCACCCCCTGCCCCGCCGTTACCATGGCCGCCACCGTAGCCAGGAATAGCAGGGCCGCCGGGGACTGCGGGCCGTCTCATTGTTACATTCATAGGGGGGTATTTGCCATAGTTGCCACGCTTGGCGAGCGGGTTGGCAACCGCAGTTTTTTTATTGTAATTTTGGCTATTATCAGGAAGATGCTGCTGCCCATCTCCTGCCTGTTTCACTTTGTCGCCTTTTAACGCCACGCCACGCCTCCGGTGTGGTGTTTACGACCCACGGGAGGATATGGGGTAGTGGATATTCTTGACCGCCACTACACGGCAAATTAATTTTACGTAACTATAATTATTTATTTGTTATATAAGTAAATGCCATCAATCGTCATCATTATTATCGTAATCAATATGTACTGTTATACAATAACATGGGCCCCATCTGTTGTACTTTTTCCAATTTCTTTCGTTTTCCAGTGAATATTATGATATTGTGACGCCTCATAATTATTATTAATAAATAATAATTAAATTTAATATAAAGATATTAATATAATAATTATATTTTAAACAATTAAAATGCAATAATAAGCATAAAGTTCAAATATATTCGTTTGGGTTATTGAATATTACAATATAGTAACCGCATAAAATTGTCTTTAAAAATCTCTAAATTTATTAAAATTCTGTTTAAAATATTAAAAATGTATTAAATAATACAAGTACAAGTAGTTTATTTTGCAATAATAAAGATAAATAATATTTGTAATATAATTGATAAATGACAAAAATTTTCTAAGTTAATGAAGCACACAGCTCGGCTGCTCAGTATACATATCTATAAATAAAATTAGTTATAACATAGTGCTTTTGAACCCCCTTACAAGCGCGTGTAATACACTTCAAGCGATATGTAGAATTGCACGGTCTTAGGTATAGTGCTAGAAAAAGTGAAATTATTGTGCTAACATAATTCACATCCATTGGGATAAGAATTCAGAAATAAAAATGTATGGACTAAAACTACTTTTACGGATTTTATCGCGTAAAATTTTTAATTTTTTAGTAATTCGGGTGCTTTACAGCACCTATGGTCACGGGGGACTGAGTTGATTGACGTCCCGATGTCAAACTTAACCCGGAGTACCTTCAGCTTTTTAAGTAATTAATTTTGTTCCGATCTACGCAGAATGAACTTACTGTGTCTTGAAGTCTTGCAGTGGTATGCTTGGGTTTAGTTTTAATTTTATTAATTACAGGATCCCAAGCACGTGGTAGTACCCAGTCTACCTCTCCATTGAAATTAGGATGTTTTTAATTTCAATAGCCTCACGTATCAACCTAGGCAGGAATCGATGTTCTTTCGCGAGAATTTGTAGCTTATCAAATCTAATGTAATGGCGGTGGCCGTCTAGGATATGATCACAAACTGCAGACTTCCCGGAACGTCGGTGCTTCACGTCAGCTATGTGTTCTTTTACGCGGGTTTTTATTGATCGTTTTGTTTGCCCTATATATGAGAGACCACATTCACAATCAAGCTTGTACACTCCTGCATCTTTTAGAAGAATATTGCACTTGACGGATGGTAAGAACTCAGTCCCCCGTGATTATGGGTGCTGTAAAGCACCCGAAACGTAGTTTTATTAAATGTGTTGTGTTCTCGTAAATATAAGAAATCATTTTAAAAAGGTATTATTAAATATAACCTCTAACCTGACTGCAATCATTTTGAAAGTATTTGACAGATCTGGTAAACATTCATGAAGGTACGCGTGAAATCGGATGTTTCGGTTACATTAAACGATTGTCTAAAATTTTGTTTGAAGTTCTCGCATAAAACGTATAGAGATGTAATTACTTTACAAAAAAAGATTAATAAAGTCGTTGAGCATTATTTTCGCTACGTCCTTTACTTGTTTCTATTTTTAGCTTAAGGGAATTTATAAGAAATTAGTTAAAAAAAATAAAAATAAATGCATAAGATTCTTTTTTAATTTAAAATTAATAAATTTATCTAAAAGCTTTTATTTTCGGTGCTAATACAAAGTGTATCGGAGAACTCAAGCACCGACTTAAGAAACTATTTAATTATGTGCAAATTATTAAACTGATTTCAGTCTTTTAAATATAAATTGTTTGAGCCCTTTGAGTGCATTAAACATTTAAATAAGCTAGGGGCGATAACTAGAACGTCGTTTATGTTGTTATACTAAAAATATCATCCTTATATTTCATCCTCAGGGAAGAAATTGTTCTTCAAATTTGAATATGTCCACCTTTGAAGCATAATAAAAATCATCAGTCCACAAAACGGCGCTCAGCTTAGATCGACTCAAAATTAAGATGTAATTTAAGTAAAAAATATGTTATTTGTTTTATGACAAAATAAGTTAAAGAAGTTGTCAGCAGTTATTTTAATCAGATGCAGAAACACATTGCAGCGTGTAATAAAATATAATTAAGCTTGGTAAAGTTGTAATAAAGAAGGTGGGTGAAGAGGAGGAAAATTCAACTGGTTAATAAATTAAGTATTGTAGTTGTTCAATTAAAAAATTAACAAATTTAAGTACGATAAATTGTGTAGCGCACGAAAGTATCTGCACTAACTTTTTGTGTATATACATAAATTCAGTTTGTAAAAGAATATTATATTAACAATTAATTATTACACACGATTACATTACATCAATTGCGCAGTGGCAGTGTAAAAATATAATATCGTCTATATAATGCTATAATATAGTACCTATAATATCGTCCCCTGGGTATGGTATCGTATGCTATGGCAATAGGAGACAGAGGGAACTAA